TGTGTCTCACACTAACACCTCTACAAATAGACGAACCAATGCTGTTAAAATGCTGCCACAGATCAGTGGGCTCATGGAAGGAGCCAGGAAAGGCTGAGGAAGGGAACAGCTTATACCATCACGGCAGCCAGCAGTTGAACAGCAAAGGTTGCAGCAAGAATAACTGGGGATATTCTGTCTGAATCTTCAGCTCCCAGAGTCCCACCAGATGTGCTTCGAGACTCACTCCACTCTATGGACCACAGGCACCTAGAGCACTTTCTGTGACAAAAGAAAACAAACAGGAGGATAAATGAGAAGTACAATTTTAGGTTATTACAGAAGATTATTGCAAACAAGTAGACCTAGGTCTAAATCTCAGCATGCAATTTACTAGCTGGATGTACTTAGGTGGGTCCTGTGACCTCTCTGAGCCTCTGATCTATAAAACAAGAATAACCAAGTCTACCATAGGATCGTGCCGAGGATTAAAGCACACACCACTTATAAAACATCTAACCAGAAGCAGGTGCTTAATATATGTTAGTTCTCTCTACTCCTGTTTCTTCTTACTTCTTACTGTGGAATAAATTATCAGATTAAATTTTTTTATTGTACTTTAGGTTCTGGGGTACATGTGCAGATCATGCAGGATTGTTGCATAGGTACACACATGGCAAGGTGGTTTGCTGCCTCCTTCCCCCTGTCACCTATATCTGGCATATCTCCCCATGTTATCCCTCCCCAACCTCCCTACATCTTGCTGTCCATCCCCTAGGCGCCCCCCAACAGACCCCAGTGTGTGATGCTCCCCTCCCTGTGTCCATGTGTTCTCATTGCTCAACATGTGGTATTTGATTTTCTGTTCTTGTGTCAGTTTGCTGAGAATGATGGTTTCCAGGTTCATCCAGGTTCTTACAAAGGACACGAATTCTTCGTTTTTTATGGCTGCATAATATTCCATGGTATATATGTGCCACATTTTCCTTATCCAGTCTGTCATCGATGGGCATTTGGGTTGGTTCCAGGTCTTTGCTATTGTAAGCAGTGCCACAGTGAACATACGTGTGCATGTGTCTTTATATTGAAAGATTTATAATCCTTTGGGTATACATAGAATTCAAAAGGAATGTAGAGTAGAGGAAAAATTCACAGTGTCCATTCCTTAAAACTTCAGTCCTTATTTTAAAAATAGATTATTACAAACCAATGGGTACTTTGAGGAAATCGTGTCTAATTCTTCTCATTTTGAAGACAGCAGAATGTGGAACTGATGCCCAGAAATATAAAAAGACTTGAACGAAGTCACAGAGAGAGTTACAGGCTGATGTTGTATTAGAACCCAGTGTATTAATCAGCTACTGCTGCATAATAAACATCCATCAATCTCAGCAATGTAAAACCTCCATTATGGATTCCCAGGCACCCACCTGTGAACTAGCTGGGCTGTGATGGCCACCATGCTCTTCTCAGGACAAGAGCAGCCCCAAGACAGCTCCACCACCAAAGCACATTTCAAGCCTTTTCTTATATCATCAGCTAACTACCCATTGCCCAACGCAAATCACAAGGCCAAGCCCCTCAGTAATAGCATCAGGGAGGATGCCACATTTGGGGAGGATGACTCAGCCCGGGGTGTTCTCGTGGGAGTGGTGGGAGATAAGAGAGAGAATATAAATGCCTGCAGTACAGGAAGGTAACATGAAAGGGTGAAGTGGGCCAAGACAAAAGGCAGTAAGGAGAGGTTGGGCATATGGAACTGTGAGAACATGCCTTCGACTCCAGCTGATTGCTGCTAGATCATATCTTTCAAGAGATGCTAACGTGCAGATCTCTATACAGAAAGCTTTCTGCGTCTTAAATCACTGAGCAGGACAACAGAACAAGCCAATAGATAGGTCACATTTCCTTGAGCCCTGCTCTTCACCACACTACCTGTCCCTAAGGTTTCCTCTGGTTTTTCTGTGACTGAGGATTTCAGTGTGAGTCCCAGGAAATACTCACAACAGTCAGATGATGACAGATCATGACAACAGGTGCAAGGCAGCCCTGCCATGTTCTGAGTTGACAGTACGTAGCAGGTGTCTTAAGATTATATGGAAGCTGAGTGGTTTTAGGGAAGTAGAGAAAGGAGAAGTCTTATGAACTTAATTCTTAGTGGCAAGTGCCTTTCTTTCATCAGGGCTCCAAGCTACAGCCATCTGCACAAGGAGCAATCTGCACATTTTTATCCCTTCTATCTTCCCAGGTTATCAAATATTTCTTTTCTAAGCTAAGTCGACAAAGCTTCTTCCAACATCTGGACATTTTAATATCTGAGACTGTTTGGGGGAACTTCATCGTATTCTTCTGCTGACAGGTTAAAAAAAAAATAACAGCATTAAGATGATGGTGACAGCAATAATAATAAGAGAATAATAATGAGTCACCGTATAATGAACCTTTGCTCTATGCCAGGTACTGTGATAAGCTCCTTACATGTACTAAGATGCTGGATTTTAATTATCCTATAATATAAATATCGTTCTCCATTTTACAGAGTAAGAAACTGAGACACAGAGTGGGGAAATCATCTGACTAATATTATTCAGTAAATAAAGGCATTCATTTTTCCCAATAAATATCCCTTACTAAGCAAGTGACACAGCCTTCAGAAAAATTCAGATAACATCCAAAATTGCCTTTATGAGTCACAAAGACAGTTATTTATTAAATCTCTACTTCATGGTCAACATAGTTTATTGAATTCTTACAAGAGCGCCATGGGGTGTACATAATCCCCATTTTCTCCATAGGAAATTAAGGCTCAGAGATTTGCAATCATTTCCCCCACTATCTAGATAGGATTGGAAGAAGAGGCTTTGGAATCCACATCAGTCTGGCTCCACTGGAAGACAGAGCCTCCGATTTAGAAATGAGGCTCAGATATTACGATATATGTGTATATTGATTTTTGCCCGAAGTTCTTGGCTCATAACTCACAGTTTTTTATTATAATGTTGGGGCACTTTGGGTCTCAGAAGCAGGCCTCAGAAAACAGAATCTCTCTTTCTTTGACCTTCCCCTGACTGCCTTTCACCAGCCCAAAGCAAGACCCTAATCTTCCCCTGCCTTTCTGATTGAGACCCTCACTCCACAGAGAGTCCTGCCTCATATCCTGGAAGAAAGAATGCTGCACAGAGAGGCCCAGTCATATTTTGACATGGCTGTCCATGCTTCAATCATGCCTATGCAAAGAAGTCTCCATAAAGGGGCCAAGAGGACGGGTTCAGGAAGGTTTTGGATAGCTGAACACATGGAGGTTCCTGGAGGGCGGCGGGCCAGAGAGGGCATGGAAGCTCGGCACCCTTCCCCCATACCTCACCCTATGCCTCTCTTATCTGTATCCTTTGTAATACCAGTAAATAAGTGCTTCCTTGAGTTCTGTGAGCGACTCCAGCAAATTAATCGAACCCAGAGAGGGAGTCATGGGAATGCCAACTTGAAGCTTATTGGTCAGAAGTTCAGAGACCTGGACTTGTGACTAGTGTCTGAAGCAGGAAGAGGGTAGGGAAGCAGTCTGGTGGGACCGAGCCCTCACCCTGCGGCATCTGATGCCATCTCTCAGTGGATAGTGTCAAAATTAAATTAGAGAATACCCAGCTGGTGTCTGCTGCCGAACTGATTGCTTATTTGTTGGTGGGGAGAAACCTTTCACATGTGGTCACAGAAGTCTTCTGTCTGTATTGATTGTTATGTTGAGTAAGAGAATATACAAACACACTTTGAGTTTATGGGCTTTTTTCACTGACCGGGGCTCACAAATTCTTACCTATTTTCCTTCCCTCTCAGGCCTTCACTCCCATCAAACTCTCAGACTCATCACAGTCTCCACGGAGCCTAAACCAGAGATGCTGAAAGTCAGATCCTGCCTTCTTCATTGCCTTTTTATCTCACCTGCTCCTTCACATGCTTGGAGAAGGCTATGACCGGAAGTGCTCTCTGCCCTCTTGTCTTCCTGCCATCCTCAACTTCTCTTTGGCAACCACATCTAACTTGCCTTTTAATGCCCCAGTAAGGTCCATCTCATAAAATCATGGGCTTCTAGAAACTTGGGTAGCATCATGAAACTAAGAGATTACCTAGTCTACCTTTTTTTTTTCTTTGAGATGGAGTCTCGCTCTGTCGCCAGGCTGGAGTGCATGATTTCAGCTCACTGCAACCTCTGCCTCAGCCTCCCGAGTAGCTGGGATTATAGGTGCGCACCACCACGCCCAGCTAATTTAGTAGAGACGGGGTTTCACCATGTTGGCCAGGATGGCCTCAATCTCTTGACCTTGTGATCCCCCCGCCTTGGCCTCCCAAAGTGCTAGGATTATAGGCATGAGCCACCACGCCCAGCCAGACCTGGCTTTTGAGGTCACATCTATCTGTCCATCCCCAAAGTCCATGTTTTATTACACCTCACCTATTTCCTTTCTTTAGACAGAAAACCTGTGTATTCAGCCACCTCAGGGCCCAGGACTAGGAAAGATAGGCCTTTCCTAACATAAGAATAATAATAATGGCTAACCTGCAAATGAAAACCTCCCAAATGCCTAAACACTCTGCTAATTTTTAATGAGAATTATTTAATGTCGGATGTGGGAACTGTTATCATCTCCTGTCTATAGAGGAATCTGAAATTAAAGTGGTCAAGTGACGTGCCAAGTCATACAGTTGTGACTACTAAGCGGAGACAGGACTTGAACCCCAGCAGAGTATCATGGATGGGGACCCAGGCTCCTAACCAGCACAAACTGCCATCTATGGTGATAACGTACCTACACGGTGCTGGGGAAAGCTGTTTATGAAGAAGATGGACAGAACCTGTCTCCCTGAGACTCATCAATGGCGACTCACTCTAACACATCAGTAAAAATAGTGTAGTTAGGCCGGGCATGGTGGTTCACACCTGTAATCCCAGCACTTTGGGAGGCCAAGGCGGGTGGATCACGAGGTCGAGATCGAGACCGTCCTGGTCAACATGGTGAAACCCCATCTCTACTAAAAATACAAAAAAAATTAGCTGGGCATGGTGGCGCGTGCCTGTAATCCCAGCTACTCAGGAGGCTGAGGCAGGAGAATTGCCTGAACCCAGGAGGTGGAGGTTGCAGTGAGCCGAGATCACGCCATTGCACTCCAGCCTGGGTAACAAGAGTGAAACTCTGTCTCAATTAAAAAAAAAAATGTGTAGTCATCACTCATGAGCATGGCTTCTATATCAGGGAGTATATCTCCAGAGCAGGAGAGACCAGGAAAGAGAAGGAGTTAGGGAGAACTAGCAACCGTCGAAAACAACCACTTCCTCTATCTTGCAGGGCCATCCCTACGAATGCATCTCAGGATGCATTCTTAGAGGTCTAAAGGTCTACCTGGAGGTGGGAGAGGAGTAGGGAAGAAGAAATTACCCCTTGACTCCTACATCCCATTGGTTAAGAGTTCATCCTGGGGTGGAGTAGGTAGAGAAAAACAACATCTCCAAGTCTCAAGGTGCCTGACGCTTCAGCTTCAACAGAGAAACTCTAGGTTCACAGCACTGGACATGGGAGAGACACAGTCAGGTTGAGCCAGCATGCAGTTGGTCAAAATCCATATAGCGTAAATAGCCAGGGCCCAGTGCAAAATGAAAATGCAGGGCCCCTTGTTCCAAAATGATTACAAGCTTCAAAATGTCTACAGCAGAGCATTCCACAAGCATGGAGCCCTTCGATCCCAGGGCCCTATCCAGCTGCATTGGCCACATAGCCATGAAGCAGGCTCTGCCACTGGGGAAACTGATCACCACAGGGGCAGCTGGGCCAAAACAAAAAGCCCTGAAGACAGGTAGACAGGTGAGGCTGAGAGCACTTGAAGTGGCTTCTGAGATGGGTTCAATGCAAGGCTTGATGAAAGGGTGAGAGGAGACAAGCTCAGAGGACAGGCTGGGACTTGGAGAAATTGGTTTCTGTTGTGTATACAGAGCACTTACAGAAGTTAGCACCTGTGAGAGCAGCCTCTAGGCTGCCTGTGTTATATAAAAGGTTAGCAGTCCAGGTATAAGGGTAGAGATTACCCAGGGAGTAATCTAGTTCTCATTTGGTAATGGGCTCAGGGAGGCCATTAGATGCTACCTGGGGACAGAGGAAATGGGACGAGGAAAGTAGGGGTCATTCCCATTAGTTCTTCCCAAGTATCAGGTAAAATCTGGTGCCTCCTGGCTGGTAGTGGATACCTCTGTGTCCATGGAAGTTAACAAGTAAAAGCTTTGCCTGTGTGCAGTAGACAAGGGGGGTGGCTCTCATTTGCAGCTGGGCTAGAATATCTCTAAAGTAAGAGTTTCATTTCCTACTGGAGTACTTTCTCCATTATCCAGCTGAGCAAGGCTCTGTTGCCCTCCCACCCCTCCTCCGCCTCCACCCACTTGGTACCAGGCAGCGGCAATCTTATTATCTGATTGCACAAGGACTCAGCCATGGATCGCTTGTTCGATTTTTCATAGCCGGGCAGCTTCTTATCTTTGAAGGGTTGGTCCTCATTTTTCATTCTATTTCCAACCTTGCATCAGCCCCTAAGATGTGGTATTCAACACTGTAGTCCTAATAAGATTCTGAAGTTCCCTCCAGCGTGTTAGGATCTTGATCTTCTAGGCCCACTCCAAGCTGTGATATCTTTAATTCATACCCATCATTCTTGGATGAGGTCCCAGTACCCCTTCTCCATATCACAGCTCCTCTGAAGCTCACCCTAGTCTCATGAATGGGAACTAGTTATCTCTAGTTCAATGAAAGTATGGCCTTCATCTTCAGGGTTAGGCCTTAGCCACTCCCAAAAGAAGATGGTCACATAGTTCTAATCCCCTCCCTCTCTATAATTCTATAATTTAGATTTAGGTTATATGCAAGCTTGGGATCCTGAAGCCCAGACAACACTACCAGGTTGCTGGGACAAACAGGACCCTGGCATCATCAGGCAGGTGAGAGCCTTGTGGCAGGTGAGAGCCATTTTGTTCTTTGAGACCTATATCATATCCCAAGGACTTTCACCTCAGACCCCTTATAGGAACCTCATGTCATTCCCAGTGTTTATGGGTCTCCTCCTCTCTGGTACCAGACCTGCCTCTTCCACTATAATAGAATACTCACCACTAATTTCCACCAAAGCCCATGTGGTTCTCGTAAGGTCAGCCTCCGCCTGTTATCCCCACTGCTCATTGCTGCCCATCTGTTTGGCTACTTCAACAAGCCCTACTGCCAAAATTGGGTCTGAGATGGATGCAGACCCTATGCCTGGGCTTCCCAGGTGTCCTTTCTGGAGCCAGCCCCTGTGGCTGGGCCAATTTCCCCAGCTACCACCGTACCTGGCCCCAGCTTGTTCCCCATGCTTATAGAGCCTGTGCTGTCAAGACGCCAGCATGCCGATTTCCAAGCCCATCTAAGCACAGATAAGCACCTTTCTTCCTGGAATACTCTGTTAATCATGTCCAACACCAAGCACAGAAATCCAGGAGAGAGAGAGAATGAATGGGAGCAGGAACTCCATTGGCATCGCCAGCTGTGGGTTTTATTTGGCTTCATCCATTTATTCATATTTTAAAAATATTGATTGGCCAAGCTCCCCATGCCAGACACTAGAAAACAGCAGTAAACAAGAGAGATTCTGTCTTCATCGGTCTTGGAATCTAGTTGGCAGAACAGACTTTCAACAGAGTCACACAAGGAAATACACAGCAATTACATTCGTGGTGGATGCTAGCAAAATCAGCATAACCCTGAATCACAAAACACAGAGGGATCCACCGCTGACTAGCCCTTCATTATCCTCCACTGACATAACAAGGGGATTTAAACTGAAATTCTCCCTGATTCACAAATTTTTTGGCATTATTTCCCACTGTTCTTAACTTTGATACAGGCATAATTATATGGTTCAAATAAAAATAAAAAGCAAACCACAACCTTCTGATCACTGCCATCAGCTCTACTAATTGCTTTGAGCTCCGTGAAAAGAGGGTGGAAAGAACAGAAGAAAACCCTCTGGATAGATAGACGCTAAGCCTTGTTTGATGGCTGTAGTTCACCTTACAGAGGTGAGCACAGGAGCCAGGAAGCAGACGTCAAGCGCCTTTGGGATTTCACAGGCTGGAGACCCCATGCGTTTTTCTAATTCGAATAGGATAGGCCTCAGAGGCCCTTAATGCAAGATGGGTTTTAAGTGTTTCCAAGCTTCCTGAGAAAGATAAAGCCCACCTTCTTCATCAGAATTATTCAACTGTGGGGCAACTGCTTAGCAAGGGAATGGGGAGGGCTTGCAGGACTCTCGTAGCTCCTCCTACCCACCCCAAAGATTTGCTTGAGGCTAATACTACCCTGAGCACAGGCAACTTTCTTTCTTGGCCCCTCCACATCTCGTCTACCCAACACCGGCTTCCCATGCCTCAAATCCCACACCGCAGACAACTTCCTTTCCTCAACCTGCCTGCTGAAGCACCTCTTCCCCACTCCCTTACTCACAAATTCTAATTTCCTCAGTGAGACCTGCCCCTGGTAGGAGCCAGGAAAGCAATCAATCCCAGGAAACTAATTTGAGCCACTGACATACCCCAAGACTGTTTTCTTTTTAAAAAGGAGTGTCGCCTGAGTTCTGGTCTCAGCTTGCCACTTATTATGTGTGAGCTTAAGCAAGCCTCCTGCTTTTAGTAGCTGCAGGTTACTCATCAGTAAAACAGAAGAGGTAACACAGTCCAGTGGCTGAGAGTCTAGCCTCCTAAGTTTGCATCCCAACTCTGCCACTCCCTAGCTATGAGATCTCAGGCAGATTACTAAAATGCTTCCTACCTTAATTTCCTCATCAGCAAAATGAGGATAGCAATAATATCTACTCCAGAGGGTTTGATGAGGATTTAATGATACGTAAATATATAAAGCTCTTGAGCCAGTGCTTTTGCTTTAAGCACTATATAAGGGTTTGCTATTCGTAATAATGCAATTATTATTATTACATGCACTGAAGGATAAATGGGCTAACCAAATGTGAGAACTGCTGGAACAACGCGCTTTGTACTCCAAGGGCAGGGAGAGATCTCAGAACCTGAGATCAGTGTGTGGATGTCTTAGGAGGAAGGAGCAAGAGAACTGAAGGGATAAAAACCGTAGTCAGAGACGGATCAGCAGAGGTCAGACACGGAACAGACCCTATGCCTCTTGAGGGTAGGACTGTGCCTAGGCTGTGGTCTAATGTGTGTGCCCCCTCCCCAAATTCATATGTTGAAATCTTAACCCCCAAGGTGATGATATTAGAGGTGGGATTTGGGGGAGGTGATTAGGTCATGAGGATTAGTGTCTTCATAAGAGACCTTGCCCCTTCCACTCTGTGAGGACACAGCTAGAAGGCACCATCTATGAACCAGAAAGCAGATCTCACTGAATTTGTTGGCGCCATGATCCTGGACTTCCCAGCTTCTGAAACGGTGAGAAAAAAAAATTGTTGTTTAGAAGCCAACTGGTCTAGGGCATTCTGTTGTAACGGCTGAATGGACTAAGATGGTCTATTTTTACCACTATTCAATCCACAAAGCTCAGTGTAGGGCCTGGCATATAGTTAATAGACATGGAAGAAAGGAAGGGAAGGAGGAAGAGAAAGAGGAAAAAGAGGGAGGAAAAGGAAGTGAAAGGGAGGGAGGGAGGGAAAGAGGAAGGGAGGGAGGGAGTTATCCTTCATAGTTTGGTGATGGGAGTGGGCAGTTTAAAAGGGATGATCACTGAATTTGATAAAGTGAGTGAAATAGGAGAAGAAAGTACTTGTGAAAGAAAAATAAATCTTGGGGCCCCCAAATCAGTAAGCTAAAGGGAAAAGTTAAGCTGGAAACTGCTTAAGGCAAACCTTCCTTTCATTGTATTCAAAGTCAACCGTCTGCTCACTGAGATAAAGGCATAACTGATTGCCACCTTTGCTTTGGAAAGGCTAATCAGAAACTCAAAAGAATGGGACCAGTTGTCTCTTATCCACCTACGACCTGGAAGCCCCCTCCCCACTTCCAGTTGTCCCTCCTTTTCTGGAACAAACCAATGTTTAGCATATGTTGATGGATGTCTCCTGTCTCCCTAAAATGCATAAAACTAAAGTGTGCTCTGACCACATTGGGCACATGTGGTCAGCACCTCCCGAGGCTGTGTCACAGGCACATGTCCTCAACCTTGGCAAAATAAACTTTCTAAAAAATCTCAGACCTGTCTCAGATTTGGGTGGGGGGGTTCACATACTGGACATGCCAGCCTCACAGGCATCAAAATCCTTCAAGATGATGGTAGGACTGAATGTGGCAAGGAAGCCCATGAGTCAGGAGCTTCAAGAATGTGGAGGAGGAACCAGGAGGTTGAGAAAACAGCCAGGAGAAGAGATAGACAGTGGTGGAGCTGCTGAGAGGCACGAGCCTCAGAAGGGCTTCTACATAAGGATGCAGGAGTAAGGATGGAGCACGTGCAATCAGAAGAATGTTGTCTAGCACATGGTAAAACGTGAAGCTCCCCATGGAGAGGGCAGGTAAAGTGGTGTCTTTAGGGGAAGGCAGCCCTCATCAAAGAGCAGAAAAGCAAGAGAGCAGTCAGGGAAGCAGGATGTGTTTCCAGTGTAACAGCCAGCACAGGACAGTCACAAGTTATATTTGTGAGCACATAAGCTTGCTTCAGTTTTATACTGCCTATAATTTATTTTAACAAGCCTCTATTCCCAGCTGACAGTAAGAAAATTATAATTAGCCCAATGCAGTCCACACAGTCCTGTCTAGTAATTTATCCAGTCACTTCTGCTTTAAGACTTAGTCATATCTCAGATGTATCACTATTATTATTATCAGTTATTAGAACATAAGCTGTACGAGGGCAAGGATGAACTGATTTGATTTACCACTGTATTCACAGCACCTGGAAGGGTTCCTGGCTCCTAGTAGGTGCTCGTTAAATAGATGACTGTCCAGTTCAAAGCCCCTTGCTGGAGACACACTCTGTTCCCAAGCAATAGTGGTCTTCATGCTGCCCGCTGCGCCATGGCAAGGAGTGTGCGACTTGACCCTGGCATGCCAGCTGCTGCATCTGTTGCAGCATATTCCATGGTTCCTGGGCTCCCAGGAGCGACTTCTATGCAGCTTCCTGCCCTGGGTAATCAAGCCACAGCAATGCCCTTCCTTTCCTGAAGATGCTAGACCTGACTCCACCAGGAAGTATGGTGGGATGGTGAGCCAGCCCTGTCCCTACTAAATTCCATGGCTCATCCAGGCCCTTACAGATTACTGTATCAGTTATCTCTAACCACAACAGTGTTGCAGAACAAAGTACCTTCAAACTCGGTGGCTTACAATAACAAGAGTTTATACTACCCAGTTCTGCAGGCCAGCGAGGTGGCCTTGCCTCAGGTTATGGGTCATGTGTGTTTCACTTTCCTGGAAAGGCAGTCTCTCCAGTCAACCCAGCCCTTGTCAGGGCAACAGCAGAAGGAGGGAGTGGAAACACACATGTGCGCACACACACACATGCACACACGTGATGGTTCTCCAGGCTCAGAATTCTGCCCATTACTCTCACCCACGTCCCACTGGCTAAGGCAAATCGCATGGCCATCCCCACATCAATGGGGTATGGAAAGAGACCCCCCCCCTCAAGCAGGAATAACCCCAAAGTCTCCCAACAAAGGGCGTGGCTATAGAAGGGGTAAAATATTGGGCACGATTGTGCAGTTGATGACAGCAACCCTGTCAGTCCACCTGGTGGGGACTCAGGCATTCCTGGGCATTGATCTCTCTCTCCACCTCTCTGTCCACCACCATCTCCACGGCTGCTGGGTCCGGTTCCTTAAGGACGTCTGTGTGAGCCACTAGCTTGCATTTAGGATCTTGGCAGGAAGCAGACACTCGGGCTAACTTTGGAACATCCGCCCTTCATGGGGAAGCATGGGGCCCCAACACCTGTCCCGTTAACGTGAGAAGGGGTTGCATTGACTTCCCTCCAATAGCATCCCCTCTCTGCCTGCAAAATTGCTTCACTGATGCTCTGGGGAAATGAGACAGAACCAGCCATTCTGGGTTTCCTGGTGGCTTCTATCTGACACTCCACAGGGTCTCATTTTAGGTTAGTCTTGGGGAGGAAACTGGCATCTTCCTTGTTGGTGACCTAAATAAAAATGAAGAAAAGAAATACAACTCATAGTTCAAATTATTGTCACACTTCTTTACCCTAGGTACTCAGGTTTCAGTGAAGAAAGAGAAAGGACTGAGGATGGCAAGAGAAAGCACAGAGATGAAAACACCGGTGGAGGAAATAATACTCTCTCGCAGAGTTTAAAGGGGACATAAGTAAGAAAACGCTGGTGTTCAGTAAATATTTGTTTGATTTTCTTAAACTTTTAATTCGTTCTACCTCCACTAAAAAGAGCTCTGGCCAAAACACCACTGGGCAACTTTAGAGAAAAATAGCAGCAGTAGGGAGTGTGGTCTGAGAATGATAACTTGCCAGTAGATAGGGGGAATTTAGCCAAAGGGAAAAAATAGCGTTATTTATCTTAGACTTTTATAAGCACCAGCCTGGCCCAGGCACAATTTTTCAAGCGATAAACACACACACACACACACACACACACACACACAAACACCACATGAAGAAACCCTATTATTATCCAAAGCAAGTAAATGTACTAAGCAGATTTCTCACTGAAAGGAAATGGCATGAAATGAAGAAAAACCAATGATGCCTAGAAATTTTGGTTAATAAAAGCACAAAGCTGGCTAACTTTTGGTCCTTCATGTCTATATCAAAATTATGATAAATAGCACACATTAGGTGGGCTGTAGGCATAAACAGTGCTTTGCCCTCCATATAAAAAGATAAAGTCCTAACCCACAAGCTGCGTTTCCTACTACTAGAACCCAAGCCCACCCCATCAGGCACAGAGTCCTGGGAAGAGACCATTTGAAGAAACTGAAACATCACATGCCTCATGCTTAAGGTGAGGGGAAGCACTGGGATGTCCAGAGCATTTCAGGAAAGGGAAACAGCTATGCAAAGGCACTGAGGTAAGGGTGACACAGAGCAGTCAGGAAACCAAAAGGCCAGGATGCCTGGAATGCTGTCAGCGGGATGGTTAGTGCCAGGAGGTGCGACTGTGGAAATATCAATGGCTGGACCATGCTGTGCCCTGGAGGACACATTACTTAACGACTTGATTGATGCCACCAGCTTTCAGCTCATTTTAACTCATCTGCTAGGCAGATGTGATTGGTATACACAGAGCCCAATCAATAGAGATCTTTCCCAATTCATGTTACTAGACTCTCTTCCTTTTTGTTTTCTTTACTTACATCCTAAGCAGTCTCTAAAGCAATGCTTTGAAAAAATATATATTTACCACAATCTGTTGGCCATGAAATAGATTCCTAACAAAAGCACAGATTTCTTTTCTTAATCCTGTTGGACAACTGAGGGATTAAGGTCTATCCCAAAGACTAGCTTTTCACCAAATCTGTTTTCCTTTTATCCTGGGACAAGAGCTAGACTATATTTCTCAGCCTTCTTTAGAGTTAGTTGGAGTCATGTGACTGAGTACTGCCAATGGAATGCAGGCAGAAGGGATGTATGTCCTATCCAATCCTAGCCCATAAAAACTTCTCTCTATTCCCCTGTCTGCTGGCTGGACCTCAGTGTCTGAGGACACCTTGGAAGTCAGCCACTGGACATGGCAAAACCACCATCAGCCTGGGTCCCTGAATGACTGAGTGGAGCAGAGCTCATTCCTATCCATGCCCTACCTTTGATTTGATTTCATGTGAGGATGAAAGAAACCTTTATTGAATGAGCCATTGAGCTTTTGGAGCACATATTATACCAACTAATGGTACCTTAACTATATCTGGAATTTGACCTATTTCCTAAATGACAGTTTGCGTTAACATTTCCCTATTTGGAATTACAGAGAGCAAGACTCATGATCTTCAAAATCCTCTCTTGAAGAGAAGGTAAAGCACTATACTTGTTGGAACAGCAGAAGCATAGTTATGCAAGCTGGAATCATGGCAATCTGGCTGTCCCTTCTGGAATCTGCAGTTAATAATGCCTTGGAGATATTGCAGATTCAGTTCCAGACCACTGCAATAAAGCAAATATAATAAAGTGAGCTACACAAGTTTTTTGTTTCCTAGTGCATATAAATTTTATGTTTACACTGTACTGTAGTCTATTAGGTGTGCAATAGCATCTGAGATATTGATATATATTAATAACATACCTTAATTTAAAAATACTTTATTGCATGACAAAGATCTAATACCCAGAAGCTACAAGGAACTTAAACAAGTTTATGAAAAAAAAAAAAATAAAGAACCCCATCAAAAAGTGGGCAAAGGATATGAACAGACACTTCTCAAAAGAAGATGTGAAAAAAAGCTCAACATCACCGATCATTAGAGAAAAGCAAATCAAAACCACAATAAGATACCATCTCATGCCAGTCAGAATGGTGATTATTAAAAAGTCAAGAAACAATAGATGCTGATGAGGCTGTGGAGAAATAGGAATGCTTTGACACTGTCGGTGAAGATAAATTAGTTCAATTGTTGTGGAAGAAAGTGTGGCAATTCCTCAAGGATCTAAAACCAGAAATATCATTTGACCCAGCAATCTCATTACTGGGTATATATCCAAATGCATATAAATCATTCTACTTTAAAGACACATGAACACATATGTTTATTGCAGCAATATTTACAGTAGCAAAGACATGGAACCAACCCGAATGCCCATCAGTGATAGACTGGATAAAGAAAATGTAGTTCATATACACCATGGAATACTATGCAGCCATAAAAAAGGATGAGTCCATGTTTTTTGCAGGGACATGGATGAAGCTGGAAGCCATCATTCTTAGCAAACTAACACAGGAAGCAGAAAACCAAACACCACATGTTCTCACTCATGAGTGAGAGTTGAACAGTGAGAACACATGGACACAGGGAAGGGAACAACACACACTGGGGCCTGTGGCAGGTGGGGGGAAAGGGAAGGGAACCTAGATGACAGGTTAATAGGTGCAGCAAACCACCATGGCACACGTATAACTATATAACAAACATGCATGTTCTGCACATGTATCCCAGAACTTAAAATTAAAAAAAAAAAAAAGCATACAGTCAGAAACTGAAAACGACAAGCTCAAGTAAAGCTATGATTGGTAGAGAACCTTGTTTTTGCTTAGAGAGGAAAAAACAAGTAGAGTGGAAGTGTCTGAAGACAAACTGAATAAATATGGGGAAAATGTGATAATGGTTCTTGATAGGTTATTCAATAAATTGTTTTGGAAGAAAAAAAATACTTTATTGCAAAATCTGCAAATGAGCCATTACCTTTTTGCTTCGATGTTGACTGACTGATCAGGGTAGTGGTTGAAAGCTGGGGTGGCTGTGGCAATTTCTTAAAATAAGGCAACAATAAAGTTTGTCATATCAGTTGACTTTTTTTTTTTTTTTTTTTTTACAAAAGAGCTCTCTGTAGCATGCGATGCTGTTTGACAGCATTTTACTCACAAGAGAACTTCTTCCCAAACTGGAGTCAATCCTCTCAAACCCTGCCACTGCTTTATTAACTAAGCTGTATACAATATTCTAAGTTATTGTTGTCAACTCAACAATGTTCATGCAGCTTCACCAGGAGTGCATTCTATCTCAAGAAACCAACTTCTTTGCTTGTCCATAAGAAGCAACTCCAAATTTGTAAGGTTTTGTCATGAGATTGCAGCATTTCAGTCATGTCTTCAGGCTGCACTTCTAATTCTATTCTTTTGCTATGTCCAATACATCTGCAGTGACTTCTTCCACTGAGGTCTTGAAACTCTCAGTCATCCATGAGGGTTGGAGTCAAGTTCTTCCACATTCCTATTAACATTGATATTTTTATCTCCTCCCATGAATCATGAATGTTTTTAAAGAACGGTGAATCCTTTCCAGAAAATTGTCAATTTACTTTGTCCAGATCTATCAGAGGAATTGCTGTCTATGGAAACCACAGCCAGAGAAAATGCATCTTTTAAATAATAAGACTTGAAAGTCAGAATTACTTTCTGATCTACAGGCTGCAGAATGGACATTGGCCTGAAAACAACATTAATCTCTTTATGAGTCTCCAACAGAGCTCTTGGGTGATGAGGTGCATTATTAATGAGCAGTACTATCTTGAAAAGAGTCTTTTATTCTGAGCATCAGGTCTCAAGAGTGGGCTTAAAATATTCATAAACCATGCCATAAACCAATGTGCTATCACCCAGCCCTTGTTGTCCTATTTCTAGAGCACAGGAAGAATAGATTTAGCATAATTCTTAAAGGTTCTAGGATTTTCAGAATGGTAAATGAGCATTGGCTTTAAAGTCACCAGCTACATTAGCTCTTAACAAGAGAATCAACCTGTCATTGGAAGATCTGAAGCCAAGCATTGACTTCTCCTCTCTAGCTATGAAAGTTCTAGATGGCATCTTCTTCCAATAGAAGGCTGTTTCATCAACTGTACATGGGAAATCTATTGTTTAGTGTGGCTGCCTTAATTATCTTAACTAGATCTTCTGGGTAACTTTCTACAGCTTCTACATCGGCACTAGCCTTACGATTTGATGTTGTGCACACAACTTCTTTACTTAAACTGCACGAACCAACCTCTGCTAGCTTCATACTTTTGTTCTGCATCTTTCTAACCTCTCTATGAACATACCTTAGTATGATAAAAGCCATATATGACAGACCCACAGCTAGTATCATACTGAATAAAAAAAGACTGAAAGCTTTTCCTCTACTATCTGGAACATGACAAGAATGCCACTTTTACCACTGTTATTCAACACAGCACTGAAGTCCTAGCTAGAGCAATAAGACCAGAGAAAGAAACAAAGATCATCCACACTGGAAAGGGAGAAATCAAATTATCCTTGTTTGCAGATGGCATAATCTTATATTTGGAAAAACCTAAAAATGTCACAAGAAAACTATCAGAACTGATAAACAAATTTAGATAAGTTGCAGGATACAGAATCAACATATGAAAATCAGTAGCATTTCTATATGTCAATAGTGAACCATCTGAAAAAGAAATTTAAAAAGTAATCCCATTTGTAATAGTCACAAATAAAATTAAACACCTGGGAATTAACCAAAAAAATGGAAGATCTCTATGATGAAAACTATAAAACACTGATGAAAGAAATTGAAGAGGACACTGAAGAAATGGAAGATAGTCCATGTTCACGGATTAGAAGAATCAATATTGTTAAAATAAAATGTCCATACTACCCGAAGCAATCTACACATTCAATGCAATCCCTATCAAAATACCTATGACATTCTTCTCAGAAATAGAAAAAAAAATCCTAGAATTTATGTGGAACCACAAAAGACCAGAATAGACAAAACTAACCTAAGCCAAAAGAACAAAACTGGAGGGATCACATCACCTGACTTTAAATTATACTGCAGATGTATAGTAACCAAAATAGCATGACACTGGCATAAAAACAGACACCTAGTTACCAACGGAACAGAACAGAGAACCTAGAAACAAATCCATCCACCTGCAATAAACTTATTGACAATGCTGTCAAGAACATACACTGGGGAAGAGAATCTCTTCAATAAATGGTGCTGGAAACAATGGATATCTACATGGAGAAGAATGACTCTGGAATCTTATCTCTCACTATATAGAAAAATCAAATCAAAATCTATTAAAGACTTATTAAAATCTAAGACCTCAAACTATGAAACTACTTCAAGGAAACATTAGGCCACCTGTGGTGGTGGCTCATGCCTGTAACCCCAGCACTTTGGGAGTCTGAGGCGGGTGGATCACCTGGGGTCAGAAGTTTGAGACCAGCCTGGACAACATGGTGAAAACCCATCTCTACTAAAAATACAAAAACTTAGCCAGGCATGGTGGTGGGTGCCTGTAATCCCAGCTACTTGGGAAGCTGCAGCAGGAGAATTGCTTCAACCCAGGAGGCAGAGGTTGCAGTGAGCCAAGATCACGCCATTGCACTCCAACCTGGGTGACAGAGTGAGACTCTGTCCCCCCCCTAAAAATTAATTAATTAATTTAATTAAAAGAATCCATCAGAGAAACTCTCCAGAACATTGATCTGGGCAAAAATTTCTTGAATAATACCTCACAAGCACATGCATCCACCACAAAAATGGACAAATGGGATTACATCAAGTTAAAAAGCTTTTGAACAGCAAAGGAAACAATCAACGAAGTCAAGAAACATCCCAGAGAATGGGAAAAAAATCTGCAAAATATTCATCTGACGAGGGATTAATAACCAGGGAATATATTAAGAGCTCAAACAGCTCTATAGAAAAAAAAATCTAAAATCCCCAGTTAAAAATGGGCAAAAGATTTGAACAAACATTTCTCAAAAGAAGACACAGAAATGGCAAACAGGCACATGAAAAAGTGCTCAACATCACTGATCATCAAGGAAATGCAAATCAAAACTACAATGAGATATCATCTCACCCTGAGTAAAATGGCTTATATTCAAAAGACAGGTAATAACAAATGATGGTGAGGATAAAGAGAAAAGGGAACTCTCATACACTATTGGTAGGAATATAAATTAATACAACCACTGTGAAGAACAGTTTGGAGATGACTCAAAAAACTAAAACTAGAAGTACAATACGATCCAGCAATCCCACGGCTGGGTATATACCTAAAAGAAAGGAAATCTGTGTACTGAAGAAATATCTACACTCCCATGTTTTATCCAGCACTGTTCATAATAGCCAAAATGTGGAAGCAATCTAAGCCTCCACCAAGAGATGAATGGATAAAGAAAATATGGTCCTTTTACACAACGGAGTACTATTCAACCATAAAACAAATAAAATCCCGTCATCTGCAACAACATGGTCATTAGGTTAAGTGAAATAAGGCACGGAAAGACAAACATCACATGTTCTCATTTGCAGAATCTAAAAATCAAAGCAATTGAACTCATGGAGATAGGGAATAGAAGGATGGTTGCCGGAGGCTGGGAAGGGTAGGAAGGGTTGGAGTAAGCTAGGGATAGTTAATGGGTCAAAAAAAATAGTTAGAAAGAATGAATAAGACCTAGTATTTGATAGCACAACAGGGTGACTATAGTTAATAACACTTTGATTGTACAATTTAAAATAACTAAAAGGGTATAATTGGGTTGTTTGCAACACAGAGGATAAATGCTTGAGAGGCTGCACACCCCATTTTACATGATGTGATGATTACACATTGCATTCATGTATCAAATTATCTCATGTACCCCATAAATACATACACCAACTGTGTACCCACAAAAATTAAAAGTTAAATCCCTGGCACAGAGTAAAAATTCAACAAACGGTCACCATTGTGGCCTTAGAGTCAATGGATACCCTTTGACCTGTTCATCATGTCATGATTTCGTATGTACGGTTTTCATCCTTGTTTTATGTTTTCATTCAGCCAGCTACCTCAGTGTAGGTAGCTGGTTTCCTACACACTCTACACTTCTTATGACCTTGAGTCCCTAGGGAAAACCTCTAGAGCTGTGCTATCTGGTATGGTAGCTGCTAGCCTCATGTGGCTATTTAATTTTCCATTTAAATTAATTAAAATAAAATTAGAAATTCAGTTCCTCCATTGCACTAGCCATGTTTCAAGCTCTCAGTAACCTGATGCGGCCAGTAGCCACCATATTGGATAGCACAGAAAGACAGCATTTCCCCCATCATGGAAAGATCGATCAGACAGCACTGGGCTAAAAAGGATTACATAGAACTATGAGCTATTTTTCAGCATTCCCAAAGGCCTACTGAAAACTCTATATTTACTCACAATGAGACTGCCCAGGTTAGCTAAAACACACAGGGTACTACTTTCAGCTGGAACTATAACAGGCTGTGCTGTGAGAACTCTAGTTCATATCCTCCATGGCTACTGATCAAATAGGTGGACTGGGAACGAGCCAGGGCTCTAGGCTTTGCATCTGGACCTGGAGGGCTGGCTGTGCAGCAAGTACAGCAGCTAGTGGGCAGTGGGCAGGACCTCTGGCTGCAATCCCAATCCCTGCTATCCTTGTGGTAGAGAGTGTGGAGGAGCCAGGAGCTATAAAGCCCAAGTATGGAAAAGCCAAAGAGGTAGGAGGTGAGATGTGGTGACTGGGGACCAAACCAGGTGTCAGGGATGTGGGAGGGAAGCCAGCACTGGACCCAAGCAGAAGCTGGAACTTGTGAAGACGACTGTGTAGGAGCAGCTCAGCTTCCTGACCCTGTATATGTTACACAGGCTCCTACAGGTAGTGGGCAATGGATCTATATACTACTTGTCAACAAAAATGTGCCTCTCAGAAGTTGTGTTTTTGACTTATAAAAGCGGAGGAACAAGTTAAATATTACTTTATACATGCAGTTTGCCTGTCGGATGTGACTGATATTGCCAGGAGCCTGTGAGATCTAGTCTCCTTTTTTCTTACTAAGAGAATCCCAGCTTTGTCTAGTCCGTAGTCATATGCCTAGCTAAAAATACTTCCCAAACTCCTCTGCAACTAGGAGTGGCCATGGGACCCACTTCCAGACAATGAGATTTAAGAGTAGGGCTTCTGAGAAAGCTGTAATTTTCCTCATCTAAAAAGTAACGAAAAAAAAATCACTCTCTTTTTTTGTGTGTGACTTTTTCCCAATGCTTTCTGCCTGAAATTCACATGTGAAGTCCGACTGTGCAGCAGACACCTTGGGGCTGAAAGCTGTAACCTGACAAGGGCACATCAGGGTGCTGGATGGAACATGTGTTCCTACTGACTTTGTACATACTCTAAGCCACTAACTCTGGACTTCTTATTGCATGCACAAAAGCAAACCCCTATTTGTTGTGTTAGATATAGTGAACCCCAAGTCTCTGTTCAAAGAATCAGTATGTCAGTATGTTCAGTGCTCTTATTCTTCAATTCTCCATTTTAAGGTTGAACTTCCTTGTAGTTTCAGTAAACAACCTTTTCCACCAGTTCTAATCAGTATTTCACATCTGTTCCTCCAGTCCCCTGCTCCATCCTGACTCATTCCAGTCACCTGCTCCAGTCACCCACTTTGACCCCTGGTTACCTGCTCTGACCCCTGGTTACCTGCTCTGACCTGCCTATAACCGTCCTTCCCACCAAACTACTCACCCCACCTCGGCTCATACCACTGCTCCCTTTAAAATAGCCAATCAGAATTAGACTAGACTATGTGGTCTAACCCTAGCCAATAGGGGAACAGCCCAGCAGTAGGGGTGACCTCCATCAGGCTTTTAAGCCCTTCCCCTCCTTGCCCAGGCGCGCGCTCACCATTCTTCCATCTGTGAGCCACATGCTCCTATAGAAGCAAATTGCCTTGCTGAGGAAATTTATATTCAAATGCTACTTCTTTTGCAGCACCGAAAATTTTACTTATAACAGTTGAGGCCAAAGAAATAGTGGTTCTTAACATGCTATCATATATCAAAATGTACACCTTATGGAGGCAATACTATTAAAAGGAGCCTTTGACAGGAAACAGATACTGCTTGTCTCTGCTTTGTGAGCTCAGATATCAGATTCTGAAATCAGACTACAGAGTTTGAATACTGGTTCTTCAGGGGCCACTGTTCTATACTAAGTTTTGGTGCATATCAAAAAGGCAACTCCTCTAGGCAGATACAGGTCCAGTGGGCCCACACTTGGTGAAAAGGTCATATCTTTTAATGAATTTGATAAAGGTTTTGTTCCTCCCAGCAAACTCAGCCTCATAGTAGCATCTATGACTTGTTAACCAGAGAGCTGGCTGGATTTCAGACTCCTGGGCCAGGCATCATTGAGCTGTGAAAAACATCGTGCAGCAGTTAACATAACCACCCAGCCAGCTGCCGGGCCTCCCTCCTGTGTTTCCCACGGCCAGTGGCCATGGTCCATGGGGATTGCCCCTCCTGCCCCCTTGTGCACACGCAGCAGTCGAGTGCAACATCTCCTCCATAGCTCTGGGTTCTTAGATCTTGGTTGGACATTTGTTTTCTCCTTATTTGCATTTTCCTGGGTTTTTGTGACGATCAATGGACTTTAATGAAAAAAAATAAAAACAACCAAAAAAATTGAAGGAAAAAAAAAAAGTCATACCTGGTGGCCATGGGCTCAACCACCTCCCACTTGTGAAGCTTGGGCCAAATGAGCAAATTTCCCTTTGCCTCAATTTTCTTATATAAAAGATGAAGCTAATAATAACATGCTATCTTTACTTGCTATCATACACAGTGGGCAAAATATATACTTTGTGGAGGGAACAAAGTGAAAAGAGACTTTGGGCTGTGCACGGTGCTCATGCCTGTAATCCTAGCACTTTGGGAGGCCAAGGAGGGCGGATCACCCGAGGTCAGGAGTTCAAGACCAGCCTGGCCAACTTGATGAAACACTGTCTCTACTAAAACTACAAAAGTGAGCTGGGGGTGGCGGCACACACCTGTAATCCCAGCTACTCAGGAGGCTGAGGCAAGAGAATTGTTTGAATGGAGGTGGAGGTTGCAATGAGCTGAGATTGTGCCACTGCACTCCAGCCTGGGTGACAGAGTGAGACTCTGTCTCAAAAAGACAAAAAAAAAAGAAAGAGATAGAGGGAGAGACTTTGGCAGGGAATCTCACTGGATCATACACTGGGGAACAGGTTTGAAGGCTCCTTTGAATCAATGAGTTTAAGCCTCAACTCCTCGACTTCCTCCCTTTCAGAGTTATTTTGCGAATTAAATGAGATACCCGGTATCTATGTCTGCAAGATCGAAAGCATACTACCTACTACTGTTAACAGTGCAATGGCCATTATCATAATTATCAACATCATCGTCACCATCATTTTCCTTCCCTCATAATTTGTTTACAAAACCTTGAAATGTTGACCAGCAAATAAGGACCCAAATATTTTTAAATTTAGAATCCAGTTGAATGATGGCTCACAGCTCTGCCTCCATCCATGATCACGAGCTCCTCATCTTTCGCAACTAAATCCCAAAGCGCTGCTTTGATTCCAAGCATCAGTCTGTCATCTCTGCAGCAGCATCAACTCAGAAATTTTTAAATTGCCAATAGTTCTGTTGAGCCAGCTGAAGAATGAGAACTTCTTGTACAACAGCTGTCTCAGTTTATTGTCACATCAGCACAAATAGATGATTTTCTCCAAGTGAGAAGAAGCAGAGAGTGCTCTGGACCATCCTAAAGAAGGAATAAAGGGCTGTGTTGAGTCCGGGAGCTTAGGTCAGGGTTTTGCTGATGAGGAATCAATAAGGCAGGACCAGTGGCTAGAGATTCCTGCTCGGGTTTTAGAGCTGGGACAACAGCTTGATCATGTGGATCCCACCAAGTGGTGGATCCAAGGACAAACATTGATGTGATTCCTCCTTTTCTCCCCTCACCCTCAGCCATAAGCGTAGGTGTGAAAACAGGTAAAGAGTGTCACTGGCAAGGCGCTCACTTAGGAAGAGCACCAGCAGCACTGGGGTGGAAGAAAAGCCTGGGAGATGTACATAACAAAGGAGCCCTGGTCCCCTCCACCAACTGCCCCCACCCCAGACGTGGCTGGTGCCAGGTCTTCAGAGGAAGGGAGTTGTTCCCTAGGAAGGGAGCAGGGACAGAGTGAAGAATGAGGTTGGAAGAAGAGTGAGGAGGCAGGAGGTTGGAGATAAACTGAGATGAACTCAGCAGTGAAATTCCACAGTGGCAAAATGGCAAATCTATATCAGAGAGCCTTAATCCCTGCAATGTCTGTCAATGATGCCTCAACATCTTTCCCTCAAATCGTCAACCAAATTTCCATTGCTCACTGATGCCTGGTGTAAGTGGATTCACCTGAGTGGAACACAAAGAGAAGATGAAATTCACAGCTAGGTCCTCGCTTTGCTCAGTAGAGGCATCACGGGATGCCTGAGCAGTCCAGAGACAGTGAGCCCCTGGGACTCTGCAGAAACCCAGGGCATGGGCTCTGAACTCCCTTAGGGATTGTCAGGGTTTTGAGTCATTTACATCTTTGAAGGGCAGTGGTTCCCAGAGGAGCTCTGGGTTACGCATCCAGGACCAGCTGAACAGGAATTTGCACATTTCATCTTCTGCAAACTCTATTTGGAAGGAGGGTGGGGTGCCTCCAAAATGGAGACTCTGAAGATATCCATGCAGATCACAGCTCTGCACTTACAGGCTGCTTGGCCTTGAGCAAGCTCCCTGACCTCTTGGAGTGTCATTTTCATCTAGCACGGTGCCTGGTTCCTAATTGCACTCAACCACTCTTCAATGACTGTGCAAATAAGGCTGGTGCTGAAGGCAGTCTTTATGCAGAGATAGCTCCACAGACCCAGCCTGAGGGAAAGCTGTGTGGGGAGGAGGAAAGGCTGAGTGCTGTGTCTTTGGGGAGCAAAGAAGAGCAGGGTCCCTAGGTCTCTGCCGCATGTCATCTAGGGTGGTCTACATTTCACCCCAAATATATAGATATATGTTATACCATGTAAAGGTGTGGAGTAGAGGCAGGGATAATATTGAAAACACTTAACAACAGGTACGGTCAGAATGGACACCCTCTGCCGCGGTGTGCATCGGCCACGTGTATTCCATGCGTGCAGGAAATACTGTCTCCAGAGGCAGCACATTATGATCACCAGAATATCAACTCATGGTCTTTGAAGGAAATTGCGTGCTGGTCCCTGCTTTACAGACTCACTTAAAACCACGCAATGTTGGAAGTAGCTCTTTTCTCCATGAGCTTCAACCTCCTCACCTATAAAGTGAGTAGAGAATGCCCTGCGGAGCTGATGTCAGGGTGAGGGAAGCAGGGCAGGGTGGAGTCAAACAAGGGAGCAATTTCAGGAGTCTGAGTCTCAGCCCCATCCCTAGGGAAGCTTTGGGGCACAAACAACACCTCAGACTCTGATGGAATTTGTCTGGAGACCAAGGAGCTGGGCGTTTTGCCCTCACACTGGCCAATTCGTGACTACAAGGTGTTCCCATTGTGGCATGGACTACCAGGCGTGGTGATTCTGCCTAAGCTCTAAGAGACTCTAATACCCGAGAAGAGTCCTCTGACCGCGGCGGTGCAGGTGAGAGCCACAGCAGCAAAACGGTACCTGGGCTGGGCGCACAGAGTGGATTACAGGGATGAAAGGGGAGCACCACACTACCTGGGGCTCTTATGGGAATCAAACTAAACAGTATTAATGCATGTTGGGGGGGTTGCATCTTCTCATCTCTGGGTGCAGTAATGCTGACAACCACTTACCTATCTCTCACCATAAGCTGGGCACTATTCCAAATGCTTCATGTGGATTCACTCATTTTGTCCTCACCTCCAGATGTGAAAACTGGGGCACAAAAAGGGGAAGGAACTTGCTCTAGGTCACACCACCAATAGGTGGCAAAATGGGTACTTACAGCTGGAAAATCGAGGTCCACAGCCCCTGCTCTTAAACACCATGATATGATGCATTCAGGTGTGGCCAGGGCCACGCTCCCTCATGCGCTGTCCCATATGGCATCTGCCTGCCACCTGTGGCTACATAAGTGTCATTTCAAAGATGTTTTTAAAGTTAATGAAACTAAAAAGGCAGTCTTTCATTTGAACTAGGCACCTCTAAAATCCCTCATGTAGAAAGTGGCTACCATGTCTTACTGAACAGAATACACACACAGAGGATTTCCAATAGAAAGTTCTATTGGACATTAAATACATATATAATGTATTTTTTGAGATGGAGTTTCATTCTGTTGCCCAGGCTGGAGTACAGTGGTGCAATCTCGGCTCACTGCAACCTCCACCTCCCAGGTTCAAGCAATGCTCCTGCCTCAGCCTCCTGAGTAGTTGGGATTACAGGCGTGTACCACTATGTCTGGCTAATTTTTTGGATTTTTAGTAGAGATGGGGTTTCACCATGTTGGTCAGGCTAGTCTGAAACTCCTGACCTCAGGTTATTTGCCCACCTTGGCCTCCCAAAGTGCTGGGATTACAGGCATGAGCCACGCGCCTGACCAACGTAGTTAGTGAAATAACTAAATACACGTTAGCTATTATTACTCCTGCTACTTCTACTTATTATCTTTGTTGCTTCTATTATTGTTCCTGCTAATACACAGCTGGAAAGAAGCACGATAGAGCTCATATCACATCACAGATGGGGAAATCAAGGCACAGAGAAAGAACTCCACATGAAGGGGACAAAGCCAGAGCTCTTGCTCTCTCAATTCCCGGGGCGGCCTCCTTTCCACCAGTCTGCAATAAAACAATTCCATGGCCATTTTAGCACTTCAACTTCAAGCTTTGTCTATGGGGTTTAAATATTCCATCTCTGACCAACCGTGAAACCATGGAAACTGAATGGCAAATTGAAAAGGCAGCAAACAAATTAGCTTGCAAAACCCCACAAATGATATAATCGCTCCAGCATTTAAGCTGCAGATACTCTCTGCATTTCAGCCAAGGCCTTTCTCGATTGCTTTTGTAAGCCTGCACTTGTGTGTTCCACGTTCAGCATCGGCCCACACAATACTGTGGCCAGACTCTGCTTCCATCCACAGATTCAGAGCCAAACTCAAAGGGGTGAAACTTACCCTTGACCTAGTGGGAGACCTTTACCCTCCCATCCTGGGCAGGAAGGGCCAAAAGCACACGAACAGGTCTCCACTTCCATTGTTTTATTCCTCCTTGGAAGCTCCAAAAATAAGTAAATAGGAGTGGTATCCTGTGGGGAAGGGAGTAAAATTGGTTAAAGTGGAACAAGGGGGAAATCACAGTAAAAACTAGCCAGAAGCAGAGAGGCATCTGTGGTAGAATGTATTCATGGTCCAATTTTTCACCCCTTCTGGTATCCACACCTTCTGCCAATTAAATAGGGTGCTGTATTTGCCACTATGCTAAAGCATAATTCCTTATCCCTGCAGGATTTTCTTTAACCAGTGGAATGCTAGTAAATGTAACACAGAGTCCTGAAAGGCTCCTGTGTAATAGAGCTCGCTTCTTCATGTGCCTGTGCCCTCACCGTGAGAAGAACATGCCCACACTCCAGAGAAGATGGAAGAGAGGCAACTGGCTGAGAGCTGCCTCAGCTTAGCTAACCCAGATAAGCCCAGATGACAGCAGGGCACCCATTCCTCCCACCCATGCTGACCCAAAAAAGCATGTGTGTGTCCAGCCAAGCTCAATAGGGAGCCCACATTAGCCCAGCCAATCCAGGACCAATGCACCAAGACATGTGATCTGTAATAAATGACTTGTTTTAAGCCACTGAATATGGGTGTTATTTGTGACTCAGCAATAGCTAGCTGAGACAGCATCCTTGATTCCTCTCTCCCTCACTTCCCACATCCAATCCATCAGCAAGCTCCAAATAAATCTACCCATTTCTTTCCAATTGCACGATCACAAACGGTCTATTCCAACATCATTTCTCACATAAACCACCGATTCTCTCTCACCTACACTTGTGCCTACCTCCTATCCATACTCCATACAAAAACCAAGATTCTTTTTTCAAAGCAAAATTGAATGAGGTCTCCCCAGACCTAGAGTAGAGATGAATCTGAATAAAAATATTTGCAATCTACCCATTTGACAAAGGGCTAATATCCAGAATCTACAAAGAACTAAAACAGATTTACAAGAAAAAACAAACAAACCCATCCAAAAGTGGGTGAAGGATATGAACAGACACTTTTCAAAAGAAAACCTATATGAGGCCAACAAACATATGAAAAAATGTTCATCATCACTGATTATTAGAGAAATGCAAATCAAAACCACATTTAGATACCACCTCACACCAGTTAGAATGGCAATCATTAAAAAATCTGAAGACAACAGATGCTGGAGAGGATGTGGAGAAATAGAAACACTTTTATACTGTTGGTGGGAGTGTAAACTAGTTCAACCATTGTGGAAGACAGTGTGGTGCTTCCTCAAGGACCTAGAAATAGAAATTCCATTTGACCCAGCAATCTCATTACTGGGTATATACCCAAAGGATTATAAACCATTCTATTATAAGGACTCATGCACACATGTGTTCATAGCGGCACTGTTTACAATAGCAAAGACTGGGAACCAACCCAAATGCCCATCAACCTTGTCCAACACTGGACACAAGGAAAATGTAGCACATATACACCAAGGAATACTGTGCAGCCATAAGAAATGATGAGTTCATGTCCTTTGTAAGGACTTGGATGAATCTGGAAACCATCATTCTCAGCAAACTGACACAAGAACAGAAAATCAAACACCACATGTTCTTACTCATAGGTGGCTGTTGAACAATGAAAACACATGGACACAGGGAAGGGAGCATCACACACTGGGGTCTGTTGCAGGGAGTCAAGGGAGGGACAGTGGAGGAGGGTATGGAGGTCGGGGAGGGATAACATGGGGAGAAGTGACTGATGTGGATGACGGGGGAATGGAGGCAGCAAACCACATTGCCATGTGTATACCTATGCAACAATCCTGCATGATCTGCACATGTACCCCAGAACCTAAAGTACAATTAAAAAAAAAAAATCCCAGCTCCTAATGATGCCCGCCAGGCCCCTAGACGATCCATCCCCTGATGACCTCTTCCAGCTCTGCTCATCCCACTCTCCCTGAAGTCTGACCAGCCTTCTTTTAGTTCTTGGAATGTGCCAAACTCTTTCCTGCATTGAGGTCTCTGCACATTCAGTTCCTTCTGCCTGAAATGCTTTCCTCCCTGCTTTTTGCATGGCTAACTCTTTCTCTCCCTTGAGTCTCACCATAACTGTACTTCTCCAGCTGTATTCCTAAAGGATGGTTCCCTCTGTTTTCTCCATCTTAAACTAGTTATTTCTTTCATGGAATTATTGAAATTGGCTATTGTCTTATTCACATGACTGCTTTCTTTATTCACTGACTCAAAAGTTATTTATGAAACTCCTATTACATGCCAGGCATTGTTCTAGGTGCTGGGGAGACCACAGTTAACAAGACGGACCAAGTCCTTCCCCTCATGGAGTGCTCCCAGTTGAGGAAACAGACACTGAACAAGTAATAAATAAATTGTGGCTTATACATCTTGCTCTCTGTGGGGTGTCTTGTCATGCAATCGGGGCAACAGAGTAAACAGGGGAGACTCCATAGGCCTCAACTGCTCTGCTTAGTAGAATTGGCTGCAAGTGAAATAGTGAGAGAAATAAAAAGTATACGCAGGCCCAGAAGCTCTAGGTCAAGCTCTTCTATACGGCGTTCAATTTCATCCCTTTGTGATCTCACTCTTATTTTGTTGAACAGTCCCTCTCAGTTCCTCCCCTAATCTTGAACTGACCTGTCTTCAATGTTGCTTACTTCATTTGCACAGGATGTCTCTCATCGTTATTTGTATGGGTCCCGATACCTAAGCAACTTAGTATGGGAGATCACATTCCCATCCCTATTGTGCCCTCTGTTCCATTCCATCCAAGCCCAGCTGTGTTCTTGACTCACCTCACTCTTGTGCTCATCAGAAAATAGACCTCTGCTGGGCTGAAATCTCCTTATTTTTTGTCTATTTCTCCACAGGGTGTTAATGATTTATAGCAGTTCCCATGAGTTCACAGACTTCCCACATTGTATTTCTTCTAGCTCTAGCAAAACTTGATAACTTTTCCTTCTCTAATGCAATAAATTTACCTTCTGGTAAATACTACTCCACTCGAGAGATAATGTAATTTTTAATAGTGATAAATGAGATGAAGAAAATAGAGCAAGGTTTCCAGTCCTATGTGTAATAGAAGTGGTGAAAGTGGGCATCCTTGTCTTGCTCCAGATCTTAGAACAAAAGCTTTCAATTTATCTCTGTTCGGTACATCAACCTTGAGTTTTCCATATATGGTTTTTATTGTGTTGAGGCACAATTCTTCTATTTTTAATTTTCTGTAAGTTTTTATCATGAAGGGATGTTGAATTTTGTCAAATACTTTTACTGCAGCTATTGAAATGATCATATATGGTTTTTGTCTATTTATTTTTTTTCAACATAGCACTAGAAGTCCTAGCAAGAGAAATAGGCAAGAGAAAAAAAAATAAAAAGCAATTCAAATTAAAAAGGAAGAAGCTAAATTGCCTCTGTTTGTAAGCAACATAATCTTATATATAGAAAACCCTACCAACCCCACTAAAAAATCGTTGGAACTCACAAACAAATTCAGTAAAGTTGCAGGACACAGTGTCAAAAATCAGTAATATTTTTATACACTAACAGAATACTATCTGAAAAAAATTAAGACAACAATCTCATTTATATTAGCTACCAAAAAATACCTAGAAATAAATTTAACCTAGGAAGTGAAAGATCTCTACACTGAAAACTACAAAACATTGAAGAAAAAAATTAAAGACGACGCAAATAGATGAAAAGATAAGCCATGTTCATGGATTGGAAGAATTAGTATTATTAAAATGTCCACACTACCTATTTAAAGATGCAATGTAATTCCTTTCAAACTATCAATGACATTCTTCCCAGAAATATAAATAAATTCTAAAATTAATATGAAACCAAAAAAGACCCTCAATAGCCAAAGCAATCTTGAGCAAAGAGAAGCTGTAGGTGTAACACTACTTGATTTCAAAATATATTACAAAGCTGCAATAGCAGAACAGCATGGTACTGGAAGACAAAAAGACACATGGACCAGTGGAATAGAATAGACTGCCCAGAAATAAATCCATGTATATATGGTCTATGGATTTTCTGCAAAGATGCCAAGAACACATGATGAAGAAAGGACAGTCTCTTCAATAAATAATGTGGGAAAAACTGGGTATCTACATGTGGAAGAGTGAAATTAGACCCTTATCTATCACCACATACAAAAATTCACTCAAATAAATGGCTATTATAAAAAAAAACATAATAAATGCTGGTAAGGATGTGAAGAAATGGGAATCTTTAAACACTCTCACTGGAAATGTAAATTAGTTCAGCCATTATGGAAAACAGTATAGAGATTTCTCAAAAAAATAAAAACAGAACTATCATATGACCCAGGATTCCCATTCCTAGGTATATATCCAAAGGAAATAAAATCAGTATGTCAAAGAGATATCTGCACCCCTACATTTATTGTAGCAGTATTCACAACAGCCAAAATATGGAGTCAACCTAGCATACATCAACAGATATATTGATAACAAAAATATGGTATAGACAGACAATGAGATACTCTTTAGCCATAAGAAGGAATGAAATCCTTCCATTTGTGGCAAATGAACCTGGAGGACATTATATTATGTAAAACAAGCCAGGCACGGAGAGACAAATACTGTGTACTCTCACTTATATGTGGGAGTTAATTCAAACTCATAGAAGTAGAGAGTAGAATGGTGGTTGCCAGAGACTGGTGGGGAGGAGTAAGAGGGGAAAGGGGAGAAGTTGGTCAACAGATGCAAAGTTACAGTTAAGAGGAATAAGTTCTGGTGTTCTATTGCACAATAGAGGGACTGCAGTTAATAATATTGCATTGCATATTTTACTTTTTTTTTTTTTTTTACTACTTTTTTTTTTTGAGACAGAGTCTTGCTCTGTCACCCAGGCCGGAGTACAGTGGTATGATCTCGGCTCTCAGCTCACTGCAATCTCATCTCCTGGGTTCAAGCGATTCTCCTGCCTCAACCTCCTAAGTAGCTAGGATTACAGGCATGCATCACCATGGCTGGCTAATTTTTGTATTTTTAGTAGAGACAGGCTTTCATCAT